TGGCATTGTCCCCCCTCTGGGGCCCGCTGCGGCGGCCCCCAGCAGCAGGGACCCCACATACAAAAGGCACAGGTCGCGCCAGTCTCTGGCACCGCCGGCGGCACAGAGCCAACACGTCCGCAGCTGCGGCGCAAAGCCAAAGGCGCGTGGGGCCGGCTCCGTGGCTCCCGCGTGGTCGCAGTGAAACTACCCTGTCTAACCTGGGAGAAGGGAACCAGTGGCTCCCATCAGCCAGAAATTCTGCCCTGCTCTGGTTTTATGAATTGTCAGTGCAAACTCTTCTCTCGGCACCTCTCCAATCCCCCTTTCAAGTTTTTTCTGCTTTAGGCTGTGAATAATGATACAGGTAAACGCTTCCGTCTTTCTGTCCAGCCAGCAGACAGGCACTTGTAACAGACCACCGGACCAGCGACCAGCTCCCATTCGAATTTGGCGGGAGTACAGCTGTGCACTGCCCTAGAAGCAGGTCCCACACCGCAATGGTTCCTGACGTTAGCACAGCCGCAGCAGAAGCGTCCTTCACTTCACCTTCCAGGTACCTAACGTCACGCGCAGAAGAGTCAGAATGTTACAGATTTCTTTGTGAAGACATCATTAAATCTTTTTAAAATAAGGTAATTTTTTCACATAGGAAATTAATAAATGAATTTAAGCCAATTGTAGAAAGTCAGGTTACGTTAATATTTGTATCTTCAGTGTATCTGAACAAGAAGGGTACAAGCCAACCCTCCCGCGTCCCTTGTATATACTTGGAAATTGTTCAATAAACTAAGAGCTCAATCTACTAATATTTGTGTACATAAGAAATAACATAGTTGGATGTAAGTGCATTGCAAGTCTGAGCCTTAAACGGCTTAGTTTTCACAATGCAAGACATAGGAAGTAAAAGGTCATCTAACTGCAAACAGCTGCCTAATATAAATAAAGCTAGCTAAGTGCTCTTTAGCACCACAAAGGCTTAGAACATCCTCATTTCCAGATATTTCCTCAAGTGTTTTTTGCCTAGGCAGCTTGAGTGATGAATCCAGTTACAACATTTCCTATATCACAAGCGCTCTCTGGGAGAAAAAAGCACACAGCACGCAGAAAAGCGATTCTGTTGTTTGTCTGCAGAGCCCCGGTGAGTGGAGCCCCCTTGCTGAGCCATGACAGGGAGCTCAGAGGTTAGCTCACAGACTTGTGCAGGAAGCAGGCAGGAAACAGCCAACACCCTCCCTGCATTCTCGTGTACATACAGCACAAATCACAAAGTGACGGATGGCAGCCTCCTTATCATCAGCTAGATGGCAAATGGATCCTTGCCAACGACAGCTCATTAAGTGATTCTCCTCCAAACCCACAACAAAGGTACCATCAAGACCTGTGGTCCCCGGGGTACTTGCCTTCCAGCATGTCCAGGTGGGAGGGAGGAGAAAACCACTCCAGTACTTCTGGCTGTTTTGGGATTGAACGCTATCACGCGGAATGCAGGGTTTCCACAGAGCTCGCTCTCTTTGGCATGTGGATGACTTAAAACAACAAACAGAAGGCCCTGATACACAGAGGAAAAATACATCACTAAAAACAACAGCAAGAGGGGAGAAAAAAGCTAAAGAATTTTCCAAAAATTAATTGCTACATTCTCTCTATAATCAAAACCTCATAAACAGTGATGCATTACTTTTACTGAATAAAATAAAAATGGTTTACTTATCAAATTACATTAAAAAAAAAGGCACAAGCTGACTGATAAGGGTCGAAGCAGTACAGCAAAATGACATTGCAGTGACCCAATGGATTTATGCACTTATCTTTCTGCTTGAAAGAGCTAAACCTGGAATAAGATCAGGTGACATTTAAAGTAGACTTCATGGGCCTCAGTTTAATCCCTAGCAGCTTATTCATTTAACAAGAATGCCGCAAAAAACTGGCATGGCTGAAAACAGTGGCTCTAAGAAAAGCCATAGGTCAGAATGAAATATCCTTGGATAGATAATCTGAAGAAGTCTCCAAAGAGTTGACTCAAGGCATCATTATTGGACAAGAGATTCTTGTCCGAAAAGGCTAAATGTTTGCTGAAAACAATCACACCCTTAAAAACCACAAAATCCAGCTGGAATCACAGCACAAGTGGAAGCAAGTGGGAAAGAATCACCACTATGAAATGTTTAAAACCAAGATTCATATCCTCAGTGGTATTTGTAAATAATGACCAATTCAAATAAGTTTTCTGACAGGGACAGTGTAGCTTCACCATGCTGCAACCTACCAACGTGTGAAATGGAAGAGATTTACCAAGCACCAAGCACTGGGCAACAGAATGTCTGCTTCCCACATACAAGATCTCTTGGGCTGCTGCTTTGGAATACGCTTGGATGCATCACTCTTGTCAGTTTACTGCAGAAAGCCAAGAATGTGAGGCAACCAATGTGGCTTATTTCTCCAAGTCAACCTATTTTCCTTTGAAATATCTTCAATGGATCTAAATACAGCAGATATTTCATTCCGGAAACCCACTCCTTTCAACCCCACTGCAGTTAGTCAGTGCAGTCTATGCGTAAACTGCGTGCCACTATTTCACATACGTACAGAGTCAGAATATGCTCGATGGCAGATTGAAGCTGGGTAGAAATAACCAACGTGCATCTTTCTCAGGAGCTGGCCCGTTTTCAAATTCCTGCAGTCAGTGAAAATACAAATTCTGCCTGCTTTTCCATCCTCAAATCTGTTATTTTTCTAATCACAGTTATACCATTATGAAAGACAGAGACACACAGTTTTGGTTCCAGACAAACCAAACTAAGACAGGACAAGAGGCTACAGAAAGATCTAATGAACATGATAAAAAAGCAAGTAGAATTATAGCAGCATAGCTCATTCACTATATACACCAATTTAAATGCAAAGAAGTTAAATAAAGTTATGTTATCAGACTCTAGCCCCTTTGATTTATTGGTTCATGGGCAAATCAGTAGCCAACCAAAACCACTATATAATGTCTATAGCTAGCCCTTACAGCCACCATTTACACCTGCAAGCTATATCATTTAATTCCAAAGGAAACACTGACCAAACAACAACGCTGTTCACTGCAGTGGTGCCAACCAAAGCGTCTCTCATTCCTTCTACTTCAGCAAAAGCTAGAACAGTTTCTTCAGGGGGCATCAAAGTCTGTCCCTCCTTGCTCCTGAACAGCAGATGCAAGCAAGTGAGAAAAGCCAGTCAAAATATTTCAAATGTTCTATACACAGCACACCTCCAGGAAGAACAGGAACCTGACCCTTTTCTACATCTGAGATGCTTCCTTCCTTTCCTTCCACCTGCCATACTGAGACCACGCTGAAACCAGGAGACTCACCGTCCTGTCTCTGAAAATGATATTATCTCCACTTGCTGCTCTTGCATGGTTCTGCTGCTGCTGACCAGCCTCCTATCCTTTAGCCCAAGGACAGCTTTTATATTTCCAGCTTTTACTAGTGATTGCTTGAATGAGTCACTCTCAGAAGAATAAAGCAAGAGCCTAAGTTAAGAGAAAAGCATGCATAATGACAAAAGGAACTAGAACTCAAACATGCTGTAGTGTACAAAAAATGAACATATCTTTAAACAGTCTACCACCTCTAGGGGTGAATAAGCAAACCATTGTAGTTTTTTTTTTGGATATATATCCCTTCCATATTTTCCAATCGTTAAAGCAACTGAGAAAGTGACAGATTAGCAAGGGATAATTTAAACCACTACATGAGAGGAGAGAAAGCTGCAGACTTTCAGGCTGCAAAGAAGTAGTAAGAAATAAATACAACACCTTATTTCTCCAATCTCCAAATCTCCCAATGCTATACACACGAGGTTACAGGTGTCCGGCAGAGAAACAATCTGTATTACTGGAATCTAGGACAGCAAAACAAGAATTCAGTGTTACCCACAATGTCCCTCTTTCTTTGACTTTATTCCCATTCTCTGGAGTGTTTCAATCAAAGTTATACGAGAAGGACTAGTTTTCAGATCGTTCTGAAGAAGCACGGTTAGATGAATGGATGAACTTACTGCTGACTGTTTCCCTGATAAACAGTCCCCACTGATAACAACAAATGATTCCAGGCGGCCAAAAGGGAAAGAGCACAACAAATCAGTGGCTGCTGTGCAACCACTACTCAGTACATGAAGTATCAGCATCCATCAGATAACACTGACCATCCCTGTCAACAGTGCAAATCATTCTCTTCTGTTGCCTGATGGAAGGAACATTTATGCCACCTAAAGAAATAACCTTGCATCCAAGACTCCAAGCTCCTTGTGTTAGCTCCTTGGGAACTAACACACTGTAACAAGAAAATTGTTCCGAATTCTACAAATAAAGACTGTGTTTGTACCTCTCCAGGTTGCCAAGTATAGACCTTTCCCCAGTGGCCAGGTGCCAGAAGTTTCCACAGGGAAACAGAGCTCTCAGAAGCTGTCACAACACATAGCTCTCTGCAGCCAGCTGCTTCCCACCACATGGTACTCACATCCACAGCACAAGAACGTGAAGAATCCTGTCCAAAACAAAACAGTTCTGATTTTCTTTTGATACAGTTATTTAACCTGGAGGTTCAGGTTGAGAAAATTGTTACTTGAGATCCAGTGTAATGAGAATTTGAGGCTCAAACTTAATGCTCAAGATGTTGATTTTTGAGTGAAGTGCCAGTAAGGCATTAAGGAAAAAAAGTGTAGCGGGTTACCTGCTTACAGCAGTTGAGGATACTTGCTCATTTCACAAAAACCAATTCTTATTGGAAAACAACAGGGACCCCATAAAGCCCAGAGCTTGCACAGGCCTGGGGGTACCATGGTACAGCCACAGCAAAGACCGAGTGCCACCTATCTGTAGTCACGCACATGCTTCCCTTACTGTACATATAGGAGATAGGACTTGCAGCAGTGCAGACAGCGGTAAAAACAAATATAAAAAGTTCTCAGCTTCAGGCATACTATTGTTCGATAGCTATGCTAACTCCACAGGGTTGCTTCTTGAGCAAAACTTTGCAGTTTGGTTTGGAGAAGCCGGAGGTGACCTGCAAGCTAATTTGGAGTTCAGTGGGCTTTCCCACAGAAGTCACTTCCTTGCCTGCCAGCTGTTTTCTACCCCCTACAAGACGCTGGAGACACAAGAGGACAGTGAAAGGACACGACTGCAGGAGGAAGATCCCATGTCTCAGCTGTGCAAACAGCCTTGGGCAAGATTTGCCTTGGTCACGGCACATACACACAAGGCTCTGCTCCTGAGGGGTGTGAAAATCAACGTGCATTTGGCAATGCCGTAATCCCAAATAAAATATGCTTCTCGCTGCGTTAGTCAGTGTCTGAAATGGGGACGGGAGGCCATTGAATGCACTGGGCAGGCACAGTAGGTATACAAGGACTGAGATCATTTTATCTGGGGCTGAAAAAAAATGTAGTGGTTCTATTTGTTAATACTTTTGCATGTGTTTAGACATTGGAAATAAACATTGAAATCCTTTCTCAGTTAAAAGCAAATATACAGGAATCTAGCCAAAGCCATTCTGGCATGCTTTACCACAAGTGAAGAAAGAACTGATCAAATTACAGAGCAATCTACTTTTTTTTTTTTCAACTAACCGTTCTGCAATTTTTATTGTATTTTTGTTAAAACTTCTATTAAAGAGCAACTATTGACTCAGCAAAGAATTATCTGATATTACCCCACCTTTAACTTTGATACAAGCTGCAAGCTCTCTTCTCTCAGGCCATCAAGCAGGACCACAGCCAACGGTTCTTCTACAGTTTTTTCCTGCACAAACAAAAAGTAAAGAATGAGGATAAACCCCGCTTCAAAACTACATTCAGCACCCACAAGAGCGAGGCAAAAGCGTGAACTCACTCTGCATGCTGTTGCTGGAGAGCTGTTACAGGAACATCTCTTTTTGTAACTTGCATGTCTTTGAAGAACAAGAGATCCCCGACAGGTTATTTCCTGTTTTCACCCTGAAATTGTCTCTTAACACCACTTTGCATCTCTCAGTCCCACTCCCACTCCTCGGAGACTAGTGATTTCCTCAGTACCCATCCCACATGTGGGTCATTCTACCCTCTATAACTGCCTTTACTAAATCCCAGCTTAAAATTTTAGGGCAGACCAACACTAAATGGGTGCCAGAAACCTTTGTTCATATGCATGTTTCAAGCCTGTTCCCCACAATAAGCATCAAAGCCTACATCTCCAGTTTAATCAAGCAAGTTTGTAAATAATTTGCACTTGAGCTCAAAAGACCTTAGGCAACAGAAGAAAACCAAACATTTAGAGTCAGCTAGAGGACAGAATCCTGGGCTCGCACGCAGAGCCGCAGAAGTCAGCGGAGACTTTGAAAGAGGGGACTCGCTCACAGTACCACTGCCTTGGTACCCTTGGCAGAGATGCCAGCTTGTTACCTGTTCAGCAGGTGCTCTGTAAGATCCCTGCTGTTTGCTCTCTGATTGCTGATGCTTCTTTAAGGCCATCACCTCATCAGATCTATGATTAGGGTCTCTTTCAGCTTCTAAATGAAACATTGCGCACTGTCCCTCCTCTTTTCTAGCAGATTCTGTACCACAGCTGTCTGAGTCCAGCGGAATGGCAAAGTCTCTGCATTCCCTACAATCCACAACCTGGCCAGATGCTCCTTTGGAGGAATGAATGCTCACTTGCAAGGGAAGCACAGAAGGTGTGGGAGGAAAGGCCTTGCTGTGTCCTGATGGCAAGACAGCTGGGGTTGCACCCAACACAGGGAAAAGAGATGAGGAAATCTGAGACTCAGGCTGACTGGGAGCAGCAGCAAAGACAGTTTCCATGGGAGTAAAAAGCAATTCACTTGTGCAAAGTCCCTTCTTGGAAGCCGGGCTTTCTAAATGAGGTAACTCGGACAGCACATTTTTGAAAGGTGAAATCAAATTGCTCTCATGCCTCTTCTTTTCTACATTTATTTGCGGATCTTGGATGTCCTCTGAAGCCACACCATCTCCAGATGTATTAGGAACAAACTCCTCCAAGTCATTCACTGGGGAAGATTTAAATTTCTCAAGTTTTAGTAGCCCAAATTCCTCATCAGGTAAGTGAAAGTCTTTGATACCCAGTCTGGAGGGCAGCCACTGGAGACTGCGGAAGCTAAAGAGAGACTCTGCCGTATTAGGGTCCATAGCAGGGAGACCAAGAGAAGCTGGATCCTCTGAATCCATTTGATGGCTATGTCCCCTTTTGCTCTCACCTAGACGTAGAAAGACAAAATATGAGAGAGAACATCACATCATAAAAAACCCACCAACTAGCCCTCTAATCTCTCATCTAGAGTGTCGCGACACTCTATTTTCCAAAAACAGCACATCCCTCTTAACATATGGAAGTGGCATTTTCTGGGAAGACATTACTCTCCACAACTGCTCTGCATTAAGGATTCAGCTAAAATGTCACTGGCAAAGGCTGCCAGAATTGACAGAGCACGTAGCTAGATTTTGCTTGTCTTTCTCCCAAAACTTTTTCTTTTCACAGTATTCACAAACTATCAGACTGTGATACTAATCTGTTTCTATATTAAGTGTTTCACGCTTGTCAGCCCTAAAAAACTCATAAACACAGACACAATTGGCGAAACAGAGATTTACGTCCACTTGCTGAAAAATCAGGTCAAGTTTGCAAAAAATTTACTCCAGCAGCAAAGCCAGCCTAAGATTTTCTCAGCCCTGCTCCTCATCCATGCAATGCTGTTCACACCCTGCCATTGTGCCAAGACAGCAGTTTCCGCAATTGTGCAAATAACACGGGCACCACAATGATCTAAAACTAAAAAAAAAGCTTCAACTCTCAAGAGAAAAAAAAAATTAACCCAGATCAGATTGTCCTGCATAAAAAAAAAAAATGTCAGGGTGTGAACAGCAATGCATGGATTCACTCGGCCATTTCCTTGCCTTACAATTGGGCTCTAGTTTTAGGGAGTGCTTTTATTTGATGAAATACCTTTTGAGACTCGACCGGCTCTCCGTCTCAGAGAGAAACGTAAGGGACGGTGTGGAGAGAGACATTCATTAATCACTAAGAGCTGCTCAGCCCCACAGGCTCCTCGCGCATGCTGATTCTTCACATGTTCCACTGGACGTTTATCAGATTGACACACACTTAAGTTGGCATCCAGATCTCCTATGCGCCTGGCAAAAGTTTCATTCCCTGGGTTCAAAGAATCACTCTTCTGAGATGGATTTTGAACCTGTTCTAACAGAGTCTTATGGCATTTCCCAAGTACTTGACTTCTAACAGGAGGAAGATCAGCACTTGTTGGCTGTATAGCGCCAGGTGCTTTTGTCTCTCCAGACCCAAGAGCTGCAGCACCAGACAATCCTACCTCATCTAAAGGTGATTTTTCAAGATTACCCTGGGAGTTCTCCTTTCTGCTCTGACAGTCATTTGATAAGAGATTACTGCTTTCCCTTGGTGTTACGAGATCCAAACTCAGGAGAAGTTCCTGTGATGCTTGATTCACAGTGGGTTTGCACGTAGACTTTCTTCTTCCCTTTCGCTTCCTCCGTGATTGTCTCTGATCGCGCTTTGTGCTGGCAATACTGTTCTGAGAGATGGATCCAAGTGAAGTGCTGCTACTGTTAGATGGAGGAAGGGATTGTTGAGGACTACTTGAATTCACCGGATCGTTTTCTGCACCAAGAAAAGGGAATGGTCCGACCCCTGACTCCTCCTCGTTTTCAACTGTTTCTTGGGAGGGCTGATCTGAATTTGCATCTTTCTTCTTGCACTTATTTCGCAGACTTTTCTTGCTCCTACCCAGCTGGCTGAGAATTACTGCATCTAGGTCCACCTTCCTCTGGCAATTAGACATACGGCGAGTTGTCCTGACATAGTATTCAACTGGAAATAGAAGCCCTTCGATGACTGTGCAAGAATTCAATGCACTTTCAGTTTCAGGAGCTGTCACCTTCTCTAGGTGAGAAAGTCTTGATTCAGTTTCAAGCTCTTGAGTTTCCAACAGTTTTTCAACATTGCCCGTAAGAGAATCTGCAGGAAAGGGATTTAAACCATTAGTGTCATTTTGATTTCCTTCAGGGCTTTCACTCTCATTAATTATAGTGTTATTTCTGCCAGTGGGCAATACTTCTTTCTCTGACATTAACTCCAAGAGCCTACATAACTCTCCCTGACCTTCACATGTACTCTCATTGGCTGTTTGGTTTTTTATATCGGAAGGTTCTTTTCCTCCATCATCACTGGTGTCAAGCAAAACAGATGCACTGTTCTCTAAACACAGCTGTGCAGGCTCACGGTTATCAGACGTGGCTACAGCACTTGGGGGTCCAGGCTGCTGGACATCATTGCTGTCCCTCAAAGCACATGAAAATAGCTCTGGCACTCCTAGAGGGAGACTGTCTTCAAGTGTTTCTTGTACAACTCCTAACTCTACCTCTGGAGGTGTTAGACTGTTTCCTTCTCTCCTCACAAGGGCTGGTCTGGATGATCTGTGAGCGTTTTCCTCTGTGTTTGAGAAACTGCTTCGTCTGAACACCGGTGACCCAAGTTCCCCTTTACTCGTCATTTGATTTTTCACCTTTTCATCAGCGCTTATTAGCAGCGCATCTTGCACAGATTCCCCTTCCTCTGCTACCACAGTCTTCATCTTCCTCCTCAGCTTCATCATACCTCTTGAGGTTTTGACTTTTTTCTCCGCAGCAGCAGGCCTAACAATTCCACTGCAGACATTTTCCTGGCTAGCCTGTATACTTTCTGCCGGTGAACCGGCTGACAAGGTAACTTTGTTATTGAAGAACTCAGGCTTGTGTTTAAATGTGGCAGATGCTTTCTTCTTTGTGCCAGGAACAGAGCAGCTTTTGATCTGTAACTGACAGGATTCATGTTTACGAGCACCAGGAGATACGGTATCTCTAGAACCTGTGAAAAAAAATCTCATATGTGAAAAGTACTCCCAGAAAAATCCCATCCAAGAAAAACAGCACATAATGAAATCAGACAACTTTGGCAGAAGTGAAAAAATAAGAGTGTTCCTGGGATCTTACAGGCAGGACCGAGGAGCACTGGCAGACCTGCTGAAGGGGAAAGGAGAGAGCACTTGTAAGAGAGGGCGTTATGGTGGATGATGATTTAGCAATACTGGAAAAGCCACACGCTGGGTATAAAGGGCAGCAGATGCTGCAACAGCAGCAGTGGACAACCTGAGTGAGAACTGAAGCGTGTCAACAGAACAACCAGTATCCCAGCTCCAACAGGACTTGGTGCTGTGTGCCAGGACTTGGGCATCTGAGCTGGCTCCTCGCTCCAGATCTGCAGCCTGCGCAGTGGCTCTGGGAGGAGCAACCGTGAGGAAAAATAAAAGTTGTCAGGGACTGCAGCTGGGGGTATTCAGACAGATCCCTTCAGAAAGGCAAGCCACCAGGAAACAGTGGCACCGCCTGAGCGCCTACCTGCGGGGCTCTGCGGGGCCTCCTGTTCCCCGAGCAGGCCGTCTCGCTCTGCCACCGTTCTCTGGACGAAGCCCTGAACCCTCTCGGCTCTCCGCGCGCGCTGGCAACACAAGAGCGGGTCAGGGCTCGGGGGGCAGAGGAAAGGCGCCTCCCCGCGCCGCTCCCCGGCCCGGCCCGCTCACCCG